TCCCAAGTAGCTGGGACCACAGGCGTCTGCCACAATGCCTGGCTACTTTTTGGTTGCAGCCATCATTGTTGTTTGGTGGGCCTGGGCTGGATTCGAACCCACCACCTTAAATGTATGTGGCTGGCGCCTTAGCCACTTGAGCCACAGGCACCGAGCCAATGCTTGTGTTTTTTAAGCATACATTTTAAAATTGATTATCTCTTTCATATGTTATATTTTGTAGTATACTGTTTAATGAAATATTGTAACAGCATTTATAATATATGTTTGTGTTGCCCAGGTAGAGTGCAGTGGCATGACCATAGCTTCCTGCAGCCTCCACCTTCTGGGTTCAAGCTATCTTTTAGTCTCAGCCTCTTGAGTGGCTGGGATGATATAGGTGTGAGCCACCACAAATGGCTAATGTTTTTTTTTTTTTTAGAGTCAGCGTCTCATTATGTTGGATAGGCTGGTCTCAAACTCCTGTGTTTAAGCAATCCTTCTGCTGCAGTCTGAGATTATAGGCATGAACCACTGTGCTGGGCAGTTTATAATAAATGTTCTTATCTGTTAGTAAGATAAAATGTATTACATAATTTTAAATAAGACAGAACTTTTAAAATTTCTATAATTTCTAATATGTTACTGACTTTTTTAAAGGTTAAAAGATAAAGTAGGTTTAGAGAGGAGATGTATACCTATCATATAAATTCCCTAAATCATTCCAATAAATATTTATTTTATTTTATAGGGATTACAACACCCAATGTGAGCATAATTGGTCAACGTATGAACTATAGGTTTGGATGTGGTGATTTTGAAGATGGTAGGTCACATGACATTTCATCTAGTGCTGTAAAAATACAAAATAAGGAACACCCAAGACATTATAAGCATACAAAAGGTTAGTAAATCCCATGACAAGCTAATTTTTAAGATTGAGTATCCCTAAATCAGAATCTTCCCTGAGCATATCAGTAAAGAAAAATTAACTCAGAATTATCAGTTTTGAGGTTTTTCGTCTTAGCCTTGCACTGATGTGTTATCACTCTTGATGATGTTGCCCAGTGAGAGAACTCCCTGGTTCACATATGGTTAATGGGCTTGCCTGAGGAGCCAGTGCAGGGAAGCAAGGGCCTATGCGGCTAAAGCCAGGGAACTGAACTCTCCCCTCAGGACACGCACCGGGTACACACACACAGCTTTCATAAGGCATTTGACCACAAAAATGAAGTGCGGCGGCTGTGGCTCAAGTGGCTAAGGCGCCAGCCACATAAACCTAAGGTGGCAGGTTCGAATCCAGCCCAGCCTGCCAAAAACAACAATGACGGCTGCAACCCCAAAATAGCCAGGTGTTGTGGCGGGCGCCTGTGGTCCCAGCTACTTGGGAGGCTGAGGCAGGAGACTCGTTTGAGCCCAGGAGTTGGAGGTTGCTGTGAGCTGTGATGTCATAGCACTCTACCCAGGGGGACAGCTTGAGGCTCTGTCTAAAAAAAAAAGAAAGAAAATGACGTGGAGAAAATCATGTGAGTTAGTGACTCCCAAATGCCTGCATAGGGTGTAACCATGGACGAAAGCTGTGGCAACAAGAACATGATTTCCCTGTGGTGAAACTTCTTGTTCATTGCAAGCTATTGTTGACAGTTATATCTTATTTAATTGAGTAGGAGGCAGCATGTCTGTGACTGCTAGGTCCATTTCTGAAGAGATCCTGTTATAGCTGCATTTTTAAAATTTCCCTTAGGGTAAAAAATGAGTGATTTTGAAAGGATAAATATGTAAGTAGAGTAATTAGAAGGTACCTGTAATTTAAAATAAGTAAGGAGATGTTTTTTTTTGGTTTGTATAGTACCTGTGGTCATGGCAAAGTCAACTTCTATACTTGGTTATTTCCAGTCATCTGAAATCATGAACAAGGTCAGACAAGTTCGTAAACTCATCGTAGAAAAAGTACTACATGGCTTGGCACCTGTGGCTCAAGTGGCTAAGGTGCCAGCCACATACACCTAAGGTGGTGGGTTCGAATCCATCCCTGGCCCACCAAACAACAATGATGGCTGAAACCAAAAAATAGCTGGGCATTGTGGCGGGCGCCTGTGGTCCCAGCTCCTTGGGAAGCTGAGGCAGGAGACTTGCTTGAGCCCAGGAGTTGGAGGTTGCTGTGAGCTGTGATGTCACAGCACTCTACCCAAGGGAACAGCTTGAGGTCTGTCTCAAAAAAGAAAGAAAAAGTACCACATACCTCATTGCTGAATATCACTACAGGTACCTTCAAAGTACTACCCTTGGGAAGCTGTGCACCATGGCCAGTGCCTGGTCCACCCTTCAAAGCCCTTTTTCCAGGATGAGTTCACAAACTTAATTGTCAGGCCTACACAATGACAATTCTGATGGCCATTCTAGAAAGAGTTCCAAAATTGCTTTGAAGGGATAGTAAGATTTTTCTATATTTATGTACATGTTTTATTTCTCATGTAAAGAAAATCAAGGACAAATTCTTTTCTTCTTAAAAGTGACTTATACCTAATTAGAATTTTTCTTTAATTTTCCTTTTTAAAATTGCTTTGAAATAATTGCTGATTATGCTCATTCACTGCTAGTGGCATCGTTTTTAGACAGCAGAATCATAAATGTTTATATCTTTTTTTTTTTTTTTTTGAGACAGTGTTTCACTTTGTGGCCCTGGGTAGAGTGCAATGGGATCACAGCTCACAGCAACCTCAAACTCCTGGGCTCAAGCAATTCACTTGCCTCAGCTTCCTGAGTAGCTGGCAGTATAGGCACCTGCCACAACACTCACCTATTTTTTAGAGACGGGGATCTCACTTTTGTTCAGGCTGGCCTTGAACTCGTGAGCTGAAGCAATCCACCTGCCTCAGCCTCCCAGAGTGCTAGGCTACAGGTGTGAGCCACTGTGCCCAGCCCTATATTTATATCCTTTAGCCAACAGTTGGTCCTGCTCCAGAAAACTACGTCATACTCATGCATCCAACTCTGAGCCAAATACCTACTAGATCCATCTCAGCAACAAGAGCAAAAACGTTTCAATCCAGATTTATCATTCTTTTCATATTTGCTCCTCTTCCTTTGTTATTCATTTTTACCACTTTCCCAGTATAAAGGGTTAAAATTTTATAGTCATCTTTGTCTGTTTCTCCTTACCTTTCAAGTTCATCCTACTATTTCCTTTTAGTCCAATTTAATGTATCTGCTGTCACAGTTGTAATTTGAGTCTTCATTACCTCTTCCCTGGATAATTAAAAAAACATTCTGGTAAGACTTATCTATTATTATTACTATTTTTTTTTTTTTTTTTTTTGCAGTTTTGGCAGGGCCGGGCTTGAACCTGCCACCCCTGGTATATGGGGCCAAGCTCTTCTCCTTGAGCCACAGGCACCGCCCTTATCTATTATTTTTATTATTTTTTTTTAAATCTAAGCTGCATTAAGATACCAGAATTGTCTTTCTAAAAGACAGTCATCATCTTTTCCATACTTTAAACATTAAGTGGTTCTCAGCACCGCTGCAGCAAAAAAAAGAAAACCAAACATTAAATGATTCTCTTATTTCTCACAGAAGGAAGTTCCTGCTCTGTAGCATAACTTTTAAGACTCTGAATAATCTTGCTTCAGTTTAACTATTTTGTTTTACTTCTTACTATTCCCCTTTTGATACTTTATGCTCTAGCACTTTTAATATTAAAAATTTTCTTAATTTGGGGTAGTGCCTGTGGTTCAAGGATTAGGGTGCTGGCCCCATATGCCAGAGGTGGTGGGTTCAAACCCAGTTCTTAATTTGCTTGTGAAGGACCTAGATGCCCTCTTTCAATCTTTTTTTTTTTTTTTTTTTTTGAGACAGTGTCTCACTCTCCCTCAGTAGAGTGTCGTGGCATTACAACTCACAACATCAGCAACCTCAAACTCTTGGGTTCAAATGATTCTCTTGCCTCGGCCTCCCTAGTAGCTGGGACTACAGGCATCTGCTATAGTGCCTGGCTATTTTTTGCTTGCATTTGTCATTTTTTAGCAAGCCTTGGTTCTAGGCTCAAACCCACCAGCCTTGGTGTATGTGGCCAGTGCCCTACTCACTGAGCTATGGGTGCTGAGCCCCGTCTTTCAATCTTAATTTGTGCAGATCATATCTGCTTTTTGAATATTGGCTTAAGAGCCACTTCCTTAGAATAAACTTTGCTGACTTTCCTGGTCTGGAGTCTTTCCATCTTATGTTCTCTCATCCTACCTTACAGTTAATGTTCATGCATGTTTAATATTTTCATATTAAGTTATAAATTTCTTAGGAGTAAAATACTGCCATCTTTATATCACCATTATGGTTTGTCATGTTCAGTGAACACATGGGAAGTGTAAGGAGTGTTGATTAGCCAGTCAGAACCAATAGTGTGACTTTGGACACAGCCACACAAAAACTGCATTCTGGCTGTTCCAAAAGTAGTCAGTTATTCATAGTCGGTTACAAATTGAACTCCTTGTTCCACTCTTTCACCCCCTCTCACATTGCCCTTGACTGATCCTAAAAATTTTTTTTTAAATGAAAATTTAAAAAAGCTGTATTCTAAAATAATCAGATTAAAGTGAATATTGAATGCTGTATTGAAGGGAATAAAAAGCCTTCCAAGAGAGATGCTGGTAATGAGTGGGCACACGGATTTATCCTGTAAGAAACTTCACATTTTACCAGGATTAGCTCTCTGAGCCACCTCCTCTTGTCCCCACTCCTTTTCTCTGCTGACTGTCCCTTTGAACGTGTCCATTTCTACATAACCTAGAGCCCCATTAATTACTTGAGAAAATGATTAATGCTAGATACTTAAAGATCAGCAAACGAGAGCCCATGAGTTAATATTTTCTCTTTCTGTATTTGAATTAGAAGTAATGAAGTGAAATTATATAAGGATATTTATGTGTGAAAAAGCCTTTAAACATATTTTTTCTTTATATTTTAGAATTAAGACTTCATGAACAACATTTCTTTTTTTAGAAGAACATATAGTGTTAAAATGATGGTCAGCTTTTCTTATAAATGAAGTTAAATTACTAAAGACAACAGGTCCTTCGTGTTTTGTCTCATTCCTCATTTATCCCGGGATAGTTGATGGATATTCTGTGGATTGTGGAGTAGATTGTTCCATTTATTAAGATCGCTTCCCTTTGTCTTAGAGCTCCTTTTTGGACCACCTAACATTTTTATTAATTGGTGTGTATTATAAAAGTGCACATAACCAGCACATTGTACTCCATGATTGCATTAATGTACACAGCTATGGTTTAATAAAAAAAATTAAAAGTGCACATCAATTTGGATTATTTCAAACTATACTTAAGGAACATGTGTAAAATGATCGCCTACATGAATTTTTTTCTTTTCTTTTTTTTGAGACAGAGTCTCAAGCTATCACCCTGGGTAGAGCACTGTGGTGTCACAGCTCACAGCAGCCTCGAACTCCTGGGCTTACGTGATTCTCTTGCCTCAGCCTCCCAAGCAGCTGGGACCACAGGCACCTGCCACAATGCCTGGCTTTTTTCTTTTGGCCAGGGCTGGGTTGGAACCCATTACCTCTGGTATATAGGGCTGATGTCCTACTCCTTTGAGCCATAGGCACCGCCCCATGAATTTTTTTTTTTCATCTCTGCCATTCACACAAAGCCAAAATAAGTTGGGTTAACAAAATCATCTATTTTTTAAAAAATGTTAGTTATTTGATTAAATTTACCAGTAATTAATTGCTTTTCTTTCATAGATCCTAAATTAATTATATTTGTTTTTTCTTTTTTTTACCACAATGCATTTATCTAGCATATATTTGTTGAACATAGATTCTTTCCCCATGGAGCTTATTACAGTCTTAATAGTAAAGAGAAAAATTAAATCATCAGAAACAGAGATAAAAGTTAGCCTAGAAAAATACAGGTTGTTGTGAAATTGACCTGAATTGTTTTGGATGTCAGAGAATTTCTTCTTGATGACCCTTTTATTGCCTCATTGTTATACTATGAAAATTTGCTCTGTCTCTCTTGCATTCATCCTTGGCATGTGTAAACTCCTTAAAGGAAGGAAGATTTCTTTCTAGTCCCTGAATTTTACCATGTATTCTAATTATAAATATTTATTGAGCTTATGAACAAGTATTAATAAATGCATTATAAATTCTTGATAGGAAATAAATCTTCAACTTTAAAAAACTGTTACAGTATCCTGAAATACTAGAAAATATACTAGAAAAGCACTGTGTATTTTTAAAATTTTTTTTGTTTTGTTTTTCTTTAGGATTTATAGGGGCATCATCAAATGTACAGCAAATATCCAGTGTTGACATCATATCCACAAATTCCTTATCAGAAGACTCAGTAGTAGTTGTTGGAAAAGGTATTTCAAAGTTATTTAGCTTTTTAATTGTATGTGTTCTTCACACATAAGCAAAGCATATCAATAAAGAATAAAGAGTATAATTCAGCTCGGCAAGTATCATTTATACTGATTATTAAGCTGATAACTAAGGACTACCATTTGCCATTTGAATTTATTTATTTATTTATTT